TCTTTAGGTGGGGACTGCAAACTCACATTCTGCAACACAATTCAAAATGTGTTTGCGTACAATGCACATGTATATTGTCACGGGTGGTGACCAAAAACAATAAATAAACAGGAAGAAATAAACGTTTAATGTGACGAACTTGTGCCAAAAATAAAAGGGTACAAAAGATAATAACAGAGCGTCGCGGGCGTCGAAGTCGGCGCAGCAGCAGAGTCGAACGCTGGGGCGAAACTGACTCCGGCTCGCCACGCGGAGCCGCTTTTGTACACGCGTTGGCTTCTGGAGCATTCGACGTAGAAGGTTCGACGCGTAGAACATTCTAAATTCCAATCAGCTAGACGGTTCTCGAATTCACCAGAACATCACATTACAGTGCCAACAAAATGCGTAGCCGCGGCCAGGAATCGAACCCTGGCCGTTCGCGTGGGAGGCAAGCGCGATAACCGTTAGGCTACGGCCGCGGTGCCTACTTGGCGCGCGGCAATATTCTTACGAGTACTAAAGTGCGTCAACCAGTCAAGACAATCGACACTGTGGCCAAGCACCAGGCTCAGGGCAGTGAAATCCTGGCTGACTCTGGGTATCCTAGCTCTGTAGTGTTTGATGTTGCTGAGCGTTTAGAAGCTTCCAACAGAGCACAAGAACGACCTGTTTGGAAAAAACGGCCTGCTATAGAACCCTACATTCACAGAATAACACACAACTTAAAGAGGGTAGCCTCCAGTTTCGGAGTCAATGAACCTATATCTGCTCCGGAAAAACTCAAGAGGCTGTGTAACAAGGTCAATTCTGAAAGCATCTACAAGATCAATTGAGTGTTCAGCACACACACAAGTATGTCACCTGCCGTAAAGGGGTCGTCTCTGAGATTCCACTCCCCTGTGGCAAAGTGCATGGGCCAATCTTGCCGGTGTGTCAACAGCAGACTACGTGAACACGCCCTTTCACTAAAATCATCTCCGGCAAGACACCTCGCCCTACATATCCGAGACTGCAAATGCACCCCTGGTTTGCTAAAACCAGAATCTTTAAGCAACACCACAACCCGAGAGCCAGGGGGATCTATAAGGCTCAAATCATCAAAGCCAGAGGGGACGCTTGCATTAGCGCACCGTCAGTAGCCATAACCGACAGAGAACTACAATACCTAAATTTGTTTTTTTAAACGCTATAATTTTTAAGTTCTTCTTTCTCCTTTAGATTTTTCTTTAAATTTCTTCTTTCAGTTTCTCTAATTTTTCATCCTAATTGTTGTTTTTTTCTTTCTCTTGTCTCATTTCCCCAGCGCTGTTTTTCTTTGTAGCTTTTCATAAATATATATATGTATATATGTACATATGTGTATATGTGTGTATATATGTGTATATGTATATATGTGTGTATATGTATGTATGTGTATATATGCATGTGTGTGAATGTATGTACATATGCATACGCGTGTGTATATATATATATATATATATATATACACTTTGTTTCCTTAGTTTCTTTGCTTTGACAGCCACCTTCCTCTTCCTTTCTATCACTAAATTTTGCTTCCAGGTTTGTTTCCCTTTTTCGCATTAAAAACGCCAGTTGATAGTAGCGCTTTGTCCTCTCCTGTCCTGGTCTTTTACTTGTCTGTGTCTTTTGTGCTCTTGTCCTCACTAACCCTTATTTCGCACACTTTTTGTTCGCGTTCCGCCCCTTGAAGAGCATGCGGGAAGCGCCTCAGCACGCACCTCGTGTCGGTGTGCCGCAGTGTTCTTCCGTAGCATAAAGGTCGTCTGCTTTCATTGCCGTCATCATGGCAACGAACGCCCAATGACCTACTCGGAAGTCGCGTGTATCACGAGAAAGCGTTTTGACCCCCCCTCCACCCCCCCCCCCCCCCTTCCTGTTCGCGTTCACACCGCTTAGCAGAAACAGTCGGCGGCTTCCCAAGCATAATGTAGAGTTTATTTCCATCATACGTAGATGGTGGCGATCAAGGAAACAAAAGCTGTAAGACACAGCTTGACAAGTCCCTCATCGTCTACAAGACACAGTAACAGCAGCTCGGAAAAAAAAAGTAAAAAATAACGTTCACAAGTTTTGATTACAAAATTATTAAACATTGGCTAGCAGACGGCGTTCGGAAAATCAGCGCTTGTCGCCATGGTGACGGCGATGAAAGCGGACGGAATTTATCCTGCGGACGAACAATACGGCGCAGCAGTGCAAGGTGCGTGCTGAGGCACTTCCCGCATGCTTTTCGATGGGTGGAACGCGGACAGAACGAGTTCAAAATATGTACTTAACGCAGAAGGCTGGTTTTCTCCAGCGCCTCATAATTCCACGAGCCTAACACCAAGAGTACATTTTTAATCTAGAGTTCAAAGATTTTTTTTTTGGCAACGACTAATGGGTTTGAAGTGCCACTGTGCAGGTGTGCCATGCTGAGCGTGCGACGTCGTCGGCGGCGGCGGCGTGACTTTGCGGCGGCGGCACACAGGTTTCTGAGGTGACCCGTGGCGGCTGCCGCGGGCGCCAACTATAAATTCGTTTCGCGCCGTAAATATAGCTCCAAACATATTTTTTCGCTGTTTGAATTCGTTGTATGACGAATTTTTTCATCTAGGTTGTTTAAAAAATTATTTCTTCAATATTATGTATTTTGTTAAGAAGGGAAAGCCGGCGGACTAGAGTCACTCTATAGGTTCCCAGAGTAACGCATTCCTTTTTTTGTGTTTTCCCGACAACATACTCACATTAGCCGATCATGTTTTGCTTGGTGAGCATTATTGTACGGTAGCGATCACGTGACTCAAGCACTGCTCGACACACCTCCATCAGCGCTTCAAGCAGCTCGAATCGCCATCATCTTGGGTCCAGCAAACAACTGCTTATCGAACGCGCGTTTACGCGCCGTCTTTTCCACGGGGTTACCGACGTCAAAAACAAGGAGGTCGTGTACTTAGTGGCACAGTGCCTGCTTGTTGCGCTTTTGGGTGCAGCGGCAGGTCGGAGGATGGAAAGAGGCTCTTCCGGATAACGTTTGGAAAGAACGCAACCGCAAGACGGAGGAAGAAGGCTTGGTTGGCCATAGTAAAACGGGACGATTTCGAGCCCACTGCAACAAGCAAGCTTCGTGAGGTGAGTGCCGATTAGAGCTGGTTCATTCCGAGTTTCGCGGAATCAACCAGCTCTTTCAAGACGCTCCAATGCATGCCACAATTGCATTGATACCCCCGTCCACGCGTGGACCCAAGATGGCGGCGTCATAGTCTCGGTTTCAGCGCCGCAGTTTTAGAACAACCCTCCGGAGTTTCGTTAATCTAGGAACCCATGCAGTGACTCTACGGTGAACTACCGTCTGAGAGGCAGTGTCTGTTGCTGCATGAGCTCTCAATGACTCTATTAAGCGCTCGAGGACTATAGGTGGAAAAATAAAACTTTCACTTTGAATCACCCATCGGCCCGCAAGAAGGAGCTGTGTTCTCATCAGCCTTGAAAGAGTTCCACTGATTTCCAACTATATCCACTGATAGCTTAAGAATTACGGGGCGTGGTTTATTACCCTCATATTTGTTACCACGTGATTCTTCCCTGAACTTTTCTTTATCGGCCAATTCCGGGACTTCACAGATAAGTAGAGACTGACTCGCGACTCTTGAATTTGCAGAGATCTTTGTTTTTTCCGTCTGATGTCTGCTTTAAAAGAACCTGCGTAGCTAGCTTTTCTTATCATTGCGCTTTAAGTGCTGCGAGCACACAAGGCCCTCTCGAACTCTCATAAAGATACGTATCCCCTCTGGTGATATGCGCTAAGTGGATCCGGATAATGCAACTGAGAGCTTCCGGTTTTAGCTCGGAGCCTTTTATCAAGTGAGTTTGTGAACAAACTAGCCTCACTTGCCCAGCAACACTACAACAGTTCACTTTAACTAATGTGAACAATTTAAATTTACATAGGTTCACAGTTTGTAATATACAAATTAATATGAGTTCGGTCGGTTTCTAGTTAAAGGCCCGAAAACTTCCCTTTCATTCATATCCCTCGTGACTTTGTTGTATGGGCGTTTTAACATTTTTACGTCATCAATGAAGTACTACACCGACACGTCTTGGCGATTAGTGCTCCGTTCACACATAAGCTGGAAGTGGGGTGAACGTTAGGCGCTTGCTGGACATATGAACCGGATTCCTTTCATCACCTGACCAGACTCTTCTAGCGCCGGTTAGGCTTCGAACGAGACGACGTTGAGTAAGATCGACGTATCATTGGTCCATCGAACAGCTAGCTTCCACCGCACTGTCAGCTTAGAGGCGACCCGAATATATAAAGTACTACCCTTTCAAAATAATAAAGTGCTCTCACACCTTCATTGCATTCATCAACATCGCTATATCAGGCAATTGTTCAAATCTGCATAAAATACCCTACCGAAAAATTCAGTACTGCTTTTCGCTACCTGTATTATGGAACTGAGAATCTATCTGGGATAAAACTTGATTTCAGGTTTTCAGATATTAATCCTTCGTCTGCAGTCTGGAATTCGAGTTTCCAGAGAGAAATCCGACAAGACTTCCAGCTACATAATCCAGATAGCGTAAACGTATTAACCATGCTGAATTAACCTGAAACTGGGGTAGAGAAGAAGCATCAAAACGTAGAAGCGACAGAAAATACACAGTACGACGTCTCAAACTCCGCTAACTGGTTTATTTGGTCCACTTTCTTATATAGTCTCAATCTCAAGGTCATTTCCACCAACGTCTTTTGGTGTTTTGTGTTGGTGGAAATGACCTTGAGATTGAGAATATAGAAGAAAGTGGACCAAATAAACTAATTCGCCGAATTTGAGACGTCGTCCTGTCTATTTTCTGTCCCTTCTACGTTTTGATGCTTCTTCTCTACCCCAGTCTCAGGTTAATTCAACAAGATTAATATTCACCAGCTCGCGTGCACCCTTACGATTTTTTCTGTAAACCTATACTGGATTTTTCGGTAGGGTAGGTTACAAACTAAAACACCACGATAAAAGCAACACATATATCGCAGTTTTATTAAGTCAACAGCAAAAGTAAATCTCCTTTCCGCTGGTCGTACGTGCGTCTCAAGCCCCCAATCCGCCGGCGACCTCCACGCAGGTGCCTGTAATGTAGGAGCTGCCAGAGGTGCACAGATATCTGGCCACATCGGCCACTTCTTCGGGTTGCGCGAACCTCCTCATGGGACACGTAGACAGAGCTGCTTTCAGCGCGTCCTTAGGAATAACATAAAGTAGTGGAGCGTGCGTTCCTCCCGGCAGAAGAACGTTCACGCGGATGCTCGTTCCGGTCAGTTCTTGGGCCAGGGACTTGGTGAATGCTATGACGCCGCCCTTAGAGGCTGCGTAGGTGGCGAGGTTAGCAAAACCGAGCTTGGCCGCAATGCTTGCTATGTTTACGATAGCGGCCTGAGGTACTTTGCTTTCCAGCATTGCCATGACGGCGGCTTGGTTGACTAGGAAGGTCCCCTTCAGAAAAAAAACATATGGTTATGGTGAAAAAAAAGTTATAGTTATACAAAAGGCGTAACTTTTTTCCGTGATGTTATTCAAATACGCCCAGCCCACTTTTACTGGGCCTAATACATTCACCGTCCTGGCAGCGTTTGAGAGGGGAAAACTGCGTTTGTTTTGTGCAATATAGGATCAGGAAACTGTTCCATTTTCTTTATTTATTGCAAAATATTTCAGGAGATTTTACTGATTTATTTGAAAGGAAGATAAACAAAGGCTCATAGCTTCCTACCGGTGCATACAAATGTGTTTAAAGTTGGTCTTACATGGGTAATTACAACTTAATTTTTATTTTTCGATTAAAAGTTTGATCATCAATAGCGATTATCTCAGCGTTTCCTCCGCCATTAATGTTCCATAATTTTCCTCTTTAAAAAACAATATATATATATTGAATGAAATCAATTTTCATGTTCATGCACAGAAAAACAATTTAGCCACAATATAATTCATTCCTCTGCATTTGTAGATTATGAAAAGTTGGGGACCCAACAAATGATTATGTATAGCTGACATGTGCGAAGTTTGTCAGTTTTATTTCATTTTATTACATTTAGTATCCCTTAAATCGCCCCTTAGACTAAAGGGGAAGAAAACATGACATGTTAAGTAACACAATAAGACTACAGTAAACAGTTTTCAAGGTGTTACATTTGAAACGTGGCCAGAAGGGCTTTTTGATTACTGAGCTGAATATACTTGCTGCGTTGTGAATTTCGACGATACAATAAAAGAGTGTAAGTGCCTTTTTTCAGCAATGTCAAATTATAATATCTACGGTCGATTTGAAGTGCACTGATAAATTATTTGTGCCGGACGATAATCGCTCGCAATTATCAAGTTCATCTATACAAGTAATTAAGAATCGTGATCCCGCCATGAGTCATTACATTCCGTGAATACCTAGGACGCTTCTATGCATAGATGAAATAAAAATCATTGGATAGGACACGTATTATATATAACCTGTAATTGTTGATCGGTTTTACATCGATAATTAATGACTCGTTAGAACTTGACAAACATAATAAGAATGTTTAAGGCGTATTCGTCAGACCGTGAAATTGTTGTAGTGTATAAGCCGATGTTTTCAGAGCCATTCCTGAACTTAACAATGCATATTAAAATAACAAGTGCATTGAACAAATACCTCACCGTTCGACGTACGCTACAATATCGCGATGTACGCAAACAGAGAGGCCATTATGTGGAGTACGAGAGCACGTACAAAAACGTTCTTGATGCCTCCCAGTAACTCTAAACGCTAAACCAAATCTTCATCTTTGGGATCATGACGAGCCTACCTGCATCATTAAAGTACAGGCCAGTTCTTAAATGCTTTCATGAATTATTTTTTCAGGTCCTTAAAATAGTCATATCAAGTTTCACACTTGTTCAATGCATTTTTCAACAAAAGAAGCAATTTTAATACTCGGTGCAAGTCTCCAATTATATATTGGAATTTCTCTCCTCTAATTCTGGACGTTTAGTAAATTGGTTTAAGTTTTGTTTCGAATGTGAATCAACAGCAAAAATTATATTGATCGTGCATAAAACAAAACAATTTAAAGGCTGTAGTTATCTTGACTTTTCAAATGCGGCAAGTAGTAGTTTGTGACCTTCTTAGAGTTCTCTCGTAATCAGGTTATCTAAATTTACGTAAGCTGATTACATATCGATAATCTTTCAATAAATACTCCGCCTGCCTCAAGGATCCGACCTCTTTTTTGTAGGTATACAAAATACAACAAACCTTGAGGTTCACTCGCAGCTGTACGTCGTATTCATCTTCCGTTGTGTCCACGACAGAGTGCCACTTGGCCACACCAGCGCAGTTCACCACGATGCTCAGTGGAGTTCGGAATCGAGAGCCGACGTTGTTCATGAGGCTAGCGACAGAAGTGGAGTCGCCCACGTCCACATGAAGTGCAACGTGATCTTTACCTGGTAATCAATGAGCGAGACGGTAAGAATGCGTTTGAGTATTTTGCATGCGTGCAATTTCAAGATTTCAGCAAACAAAAAACGGTTCGCGAGCCCTCAATTTTCGCAAATTTCACGAATTGAAGAATTCGCGAAATTTAAGGGCGCGCGAAAATTTCGGTCTTTAACATTTTCAATGCAGGCGTCTGGAATTTGCGAAATTTAGTGGTCGCGATTATGTCATCTGTGACCGATTCGCGAAAAATGGGGGCCGCGGAAATAAAGGGTTTTCCAGTATTTGGGAACAGCCGGCGACAATAACTCTTATTTAAAAAGCTCTGCACCATTATTCGAATACAGAATAAGGTTTGGGATTTTGCACTAGATCCAATAAACCCAGGACGAAAGAAATACTAATATTTAAAGTGTACATCTGTTCGAATTTGTATCTTGCGAATCTGCATTCTGAAAATTTCTCTGAAACTGTATTGCATAAGAGGAGACTTAAATATCAAAACATCGTTACCAGTTCATTGATGGGACCGCTTTAAGAAAATATATTTCTTTTTGCGCAAAATCGTCCAATTTTTCATTCGAAAACTCTGAAGCCCATTGTTAAATATCCAATACCAAATTTGTCTCTGTGTACCAATGAATATAGAGTGGGACACCGCACGTTGTCACTGATGAAGCCATATATTGGAAAATGCGCGGTCTTGTTCTAGGCCATGCTCCTTCATTGTAGGTAACTCACTAGTTATAAAATCCTGAAAAAATTGGCAGACACAAAAGAAAGAAATAACTACCAACCTAATGATCATAACACACGGCATATCTTATAAACATCTTGTATCACGATGAGGTTTACGTGCATTCATCGCTTTGATACTAGGCTTAATGCTCAGTGCTCGGTCTGATTGCCATGAGAACGAAAATGGACGACACGACTAACCCAGCCTCATAATCTGCGGACCCTCTGCTCGCTCATTTAAAGACGAAGAAAGCACAATCGATGGCCAACGATAATCTGAAACCGTGGTTCGCTCTCAAGGCCACCCCACAAGCCTCACCAAAAATTAAAATCACAAACATCGTCACCCGCAACATCAGCCCCTCATCCTCGTCCTTGAACTACACATGATGCATCACCAATTATTTTTTTTAAGCGCAGCTCTTAGCGGCATGTCTAACGTCAGACGTGATGTGGCGTGTGACGTCACGAGGGTAAAATTTTTCCGCTAAATTTGGCGGAAAATTTTTACCCTCCTGACGTCACACGTTACGTCATGTCTGATGTTACACGTGACCCTCTTCTCCATACCCTCCCCTCCTCTTCAAGAGCTGCGCTCTAATCCGTCATTACAGAGAACTGTAAACGTCTTTCATTTTATTTCATGTACTATCGCGGACAATAGGAGCTGAAACAGCGCTCCGGCCGGCGCACGACACTACCTGCGCCGCCTGTCCCCTTGCTCCGCACACATGGCGCACCTTGAGTTCGAGATGAATTCTCACTTGCGCTCGCTGCGCCACTGCGCTCTTCCGGCTGTCTGCAAGCGAGACGGCAGGTGCGACAGCGGGCATGTGTGGTAGGGCGGCAAGGGGAACGAAAGATTGCACTTGTCGTCCCTCTTTTGGAATTCATTTACTTTATCGCGCAGTATCCCGTAGAAGAAACGCTGACTCGTGAAGAAAAAATATTGAAGTGACTTGAAGTTCAGCTGCGATTATCGTTTTTGAAAGTCACATCAAAAGACGTTGCAGATGGTTGCAATGACCACATCGGCTTTTTTGTGTTTTCGTTCACTTTCATTTTCACTCACAGTTTCAATGTTTTTGTAACCTGATTGGACGAGATTCAAAAACGCTACGAATCACGGCTCCACACTTTGGGGCCCGGTAAAAGAGCGCTTCTATTTCTTTTTTTTTTTTTTTTTATAAGACGCTTTTTTTTTTAGTTGAAGCAGAGTCTCTTAATACCGTTCTGGTCACGAAACGTCTCCGTGACTCTACGGGAGAGCTTGATATGGTGCCAAGAACGGCCGCTACGCGGCGCGAGCTATCTTAGGGGGGCCATCGCCCGCCGCACCCGGCGCAACGCACTGGCAGCGGCGGCAGCCCGAAGGCGTTGTGTGGAGGTTGCTCGCGGTATTCCTTACAACGAAGTTGTTGCATCAACGTCACGCGAACCTCATGTGCCAGTGCACCGCGTTCAAGGTCGACGGCATGAAAATTCGAATGAACGATGCCTAAGACGTGCTGCGTGACGGGCTGCAGCTCCGGATACAGAAGCAACAAGGAAAAGGCGTCGCTCTTCTGTCTACCAAGTAGCGCCGAACTTCGGGAGAAGTGGAAGAGAGCGATACCGCGGTTGGAAGCTGGCGGTTTCAACTTCGAAAGCAAGAACGTTCGTGTTTGCGAAAATCATTTTGATGTTAGCGACGTTGTAAGAACCGACGAGCACATCGTGAACGGGGTGGTTGTGTCGCTTCAGCAAGAGAGACCGAGACTTCGGACCGATGCTGTTCCGAAGATTTTTGACGGGCTACCGGCGTACCTGACAAAGCCGAAACCGCGTTCCCGGCCAGCGATTCAGAGGCAACGAGTGAAGAGGCGGCGCGAATTGTCACCTGAATGCGCAGCAGTGGAATGCCAAAATGCGAACACCGACTCGGCAGGAGAAGCTAGTGACGGTAAGCTCCTGCGCCGGTTTGGTCACGGCATTTCTTTGTTCCTTCAGTCGCATGACCCTTTGTTATAGCGGCTGGTGGCATTGAGGTACTTGTGAACAGTGTTATTGATTTGTTTTACAGATGCCTGCGATAGCGGACACGCAGATCAGGCCTGCCAGACGGAACAGGCAGTGTGTTCGTTTGTTGAGACGCAGGCGCTGAGGGCACAGCTTTCTAGCACGAGGCAACGACTGGAACGGTGTCAGAAGGAGCTTGCGAAAATGAGAGTCCTGGCCAACAAAAATGCAAGACTCGTTCAAAACCTGGACAAGCTATCCACCCGTGAGAAGCTCATCTTTGATCAGTGCATCATGAAGGCAAACGCGAAATCTCGGAAAGCTGCCAGGTAAGCTTCACCCGCAAATAACTGCCAAAAAGCTATGAATATAATCGCACATATTTTTTCGTGCCACTGTCTTGTCAATATTTTTTTAGAGCAGTGCTTGCTCTCATTGCATGTCAGAGTAATCGTAAATTGCCCGCTTTGCATGATCGCACAATGCAACCTGTCTGTTGCTCCCGTACTGGAGTAGGGTGCATGTTAATATTGGAAATGATGAGGCATTTTTAAACGCGTTGGTTGTGTACTGCGGTTTGAGGAAAGGGTGTGACGCATGTCGTACATATTTTTTCTGTTTGCTGTGGTCATGTACTTGCTCTGTTCACTCACCAGCCTCGGTTTAATTGAATGCACAACGAGCCCGCACTCTCTTTAGGTACAAGAAAGAATGGATCTATGACTGCCTGCTGCTGAAGATTAAGTCTACAGCGGTCTATACATTCCTTCACGAGAATGAATACCTTCCCTTGCCCAACCCTCGCACCCTCTGCACTTACCTGAGGAGCCTGAAGGCTGACTTTCGTTTTGACAGCACTCCATTCACTGTTCTCAAAGACAAGCTGCAAGTACTTCCTGAGAGAGAGCGTCGAAATTTGGAACAATAAACAAACTTACTACTGCATTCTGTGACTTCATATCTCATATATGTGCTGCATGTCTAAGAAGATGTATTTTTATACAGGTGTGCTGATGTTCGACGAAATGAGCGTAAGAATGAATGTGCACATTAGGGAGTCATATATGGCTCTGCTCGGTAAGGTTAACTTCGCCGGGCACACAAGACCCTTGGACTGTGAGAAAGATGGCGATCACGTCCTGTTCTTTCTCTTCCGAGCATTTCTTGGCGGGTGGTCGCAGACTGTTGGGACCTTCTGTTCTTCCGGTGCAGCCCGTGGCTCAATAGTGGCGAAGTTGTTGCTCCAGTGCATTGTGCACCTTTCGAGCGCTGGTGCTATTGTCGATGTGGTTGCGAGTGACAATTCAACGCCAAATCGTTCAGCTTTAAAAAGCTTGGGTTAGTATCTGTGTACGTGAGTTACATTTGTGAAATTAAAGTAGTTGAACACAACTAACTGCATCGCTACCTTATTTTCAGGGATAAACAGTGGCCAGAGACAGCTGCAAACTTCATTCCAGCATCCATGCGTCCCTTCACGAACAGTGCAGGCACTAACTGACCGACCCAATGTCTTCAAAGGGAACGCGACAGAGCAGCACACGACAAAACAGTACGCGACAAAGCAGCACGGTCAAAACATCACGCGTCAAAACAGCACAGCGTCAAAACAGCACGGCGACAAAACAGCAAGCGTCAAAATAGCACGCGACAAAATAGCACAGCGTCAAAACGGCAAAGCGACAGAAGAGCACGTGCCAAAACAGCACGGCGTCACAACAGCACAGCGACAAAACAGCACGTATGTAGCAACTTCGAGCGCGCTCTTCACCTCCCTTTGCGCGAATATTTTCGAACCTCCTTAACCCGTTCATTTATTGTCGCTAGCTTATAAAGGAATTTATTGCCTATTTTATTGCTAAGTCAGTGTCCCGACTGGTGCTGCTGTGTGATTGCTAAAAACAAACGAAGTTAGCAGTAGTCACTACTACTTAACTGCGCTGACCTCTGAAGAGATTGAATAGTTGGAGGTGACATCTTCGTGACAATGTTGGCCGCGTTGTCTGGTCTTGTTTTATATTTTTTTTTTTAGACCCAGCGATAGAGGAAAAGTTATTGGGAAAAAGAAATCCATAAGTTCAAGTTATGAACCGTCTGGTTTGCGGTGGTCCGGTGAGGGTACTCGTCGTTTCGTAATTACCACCTAAGCGTAAAGCGTCCCCCCAAAAAAGCGGGAGATGCGCCTATTACAGATGCATTGATAGAACCGGGAAGATAAGGAAACCTTAATGTCGAGCAAATTCAAGGTGTACCATGGGCACGGATTCTGCGGGGATCATTCGCCGTGAACAAAATTTTCCGGAAACACGCGGCTGCGGCTTGCAGGCGAGAAGTTGTTTCGAGTTAAATTCACAGATTATTGCCGACGAAGGGGCCTCGATCGAGTGGAAACCGGTGAAGCAGAAACATACCATAGCCTCAATGCTGTTGTCGTACAGCATGGGCTAAGCACACCGTTGCCGCACACACTTCTTTTTTTCTTTTCTTTTAACAACTAACAAAAACGCATTGCCGTAAGATTGATTCATTTATTGTAGACGACATCACCAGATAACTTGTGCGTCAATATTAGCAGAACTGCTCGAGAAGAAGCCATAATACGCACCAGCGGGGGCTTTGGCACTGCCCACGGAGCCTTCATGTGCGCATCGAGTATACTCCCCACTCCCAACTTGCTCCCATGAGAACGGATTCGACATATTGGCCGTCGACGAGTTGGCTTTCGACGAATTGGCCTAGACCCTCCATTCATTTACAGTGCCTGCTTTGAGACATGAATTTTTTAACTCCATACGCTATATTTAGGGTTCAGTGTTTTTGGCTTAAACCGATAAAACCGGTAAAAGTGCGATGAAATCTTTTTTACAAATTCGGTTTTAACTGAAAAAGGTCAGTATTTTCGAGGGCGTTTGGAGGGATAGGTGGTGGAATGAATTAGTGACCGTATGACCACTTCCTTTCGCAGTTTTCAGCTTGTCTCCGAGATCGGTTCAACTTTCAACAAAAGTTGAACCGACGTAATGGTCTTCAGGACGAAATCTGGGTTTTCACCTGATAGGGATTTGTGTGCCGAATTCTTTGTTCAAAGAGCAGAGTTTAATCGTGAACTATACAATGAAATGAAAAGGCACCCATAAATGCCGCACATTTTTTAGCACCTCTAGCTTCCGTCTACTAGAGGAGGGCATAAATACGATTGCAGTATTGCCGTTTCTTGGTCTGCGCGAATCAACCACCTCTTGCAGTCGTGAAAATAGGGAAAGACGCACTGAGTACAATGTTGGCCATTTTTTGTATTTTGATATTTGCCTCTCCGACCAAAGTGGTAGTAAAGCTGATGTTCGTCCTGCGTACAAATACGAGCCCACGACAATAATGTCAGATCACGATAGGGCCCCAGTGCGTCTTGCAGAACAGGTTGCGTCGGCTGCCACAGACAGCAACAAATAAGAAATCCCGTACCTGGTTTACTCACTATTTATTTTAAACAAACGGCTTTGAATATTGCATTTTCGTCAGTATACTGGTTTTCGTCAATAAACCTAAAAGAACTGAAAAGTTTATACGTCTACAAATATTCTCAGCAATCAACCGAAAACTTCTGCTTGCAATAAAAACCGAAAAATGGACGCCGAGTTTTAAAATAATAAAAACCGAAAACGCCAAACCCTAGCTATATTGTCAATGTCCTGTTTTGACGTTGTGCTGTTCTGACGCTGTGCTGTTTTGACGCCGTGCTGTTTGGGCACGTGCTCTTCTGTCGCTTTGCCGTTTTGACACTGTGCTGTTTTGTCGCGTGGTATTTTGGCGTGTGCTGTTTTGTCGTCGTGCTGTTTTGACGCTGTGCTGTTTTGACGCTGTGCTGTTTTGACGCGTGCTGTTTTGACCGTGCTGTTTTGTCGCGTGCTGTTTTGTCGTGTGCTGTTCTGTCATGGTGCCGCCTTCAAATGCATAAGGAACAATCTTCAGAAGGTTGGAAAGTTCCTGGTAAGCAGTAATTCGAATCTAGATTAGATTATTTCCTTTTAGAACAGTAGCTTCACTTTTTTTATCGCAGCTACCGCAAGGACACAAGGTCCATCACTGCCACTACTCTGCCCTGCTGGAGTACGAGGAGCAACAGGATGGCCATCGTGCTGTCCCGAAGCTCACGAGGGCTCACATCTTCCCCAACGCCTTAAAGAAGATGAGTGTGCGGCTTGCTGTTCAGGCGAGTAACCACTCTTACTAATTAGTAAAGCCACTTACAGGCAAACTAATGACGTAAGACTTTGCTCATGATCTGCTAACAAACAATGTCAAAAAATACAAATTTCAATGCAAAGAGCTTTTTCGCTCAAAACCACTGTGCCGTCGTTTTCAGCTTTTCAGCGAAAGAACGGCCTTTGCAATGGAGTTTTATAGCAAGCAAGAAAGCTGCCAAAAGCTACATAACTTCACAACTACGTACGACTTCACGAAGCAGATGAACAATCTATTTGACTGCCTCAACTCAAGAAGGCCACAGCACGTGCAATACAACGAGGCAGAGCACATCGCGGTGAGCGAGTAAATTACATCCAAATACGTTTCTCTTCTGGTGTACTCAAGGTTAATATTTCTTGCATTCCAGACATTGAAGGCGAACATGAATTGGCTGGAGGATTGCTGCACATACATAGAGAGCCTGCCAAAGCAGAGGCAGGTGTTCTTCCTGAGCAAGCCAACTTGTGGTGCACGGAGAATAACGCTGCACAGCACGGTTGCCCTGATTAATCGCCTCTTGAAGTCAGGCTTCCGTTATGTCTTAGTTGGAAACCTCGGCCAAGACCCCTTAGAGGTAATTCAGGTACTTTTTGGCATTGTGTGTTGGTACATATATCTTTCCTTTTCCCTGTACAGCGCTTCTTTGGAATAGCCAGGCATGTTGCAGGAGACGGGGGCCAACCAACTGTTCAGCAGTTTTTGTTTATATACCGGATGCTGTCTGTAAACAACCTCGTGCGGCCACCTAAGCGAGCTTCAGTTGACGGAAACGGGCCACAACTGCTTCTTACTTTGCAAGGTCTTTTTGACAAGGAAAAACCCTCTACGACTCAGGTATTTTGCACTTTGTGTCCTGTAGTTTCCTTTCAATCACTTTACAAAATTAAGGAAGTTGTGCACATTTCAGGTGGACACACTAGCTGTTTTGCTGGACGATGTCCTGCTCGAGCCAACAACAGACTGCGTGGAAGACATTGGCCCCCTGTCGACCAAAGACTCCATTTTGGATTACCTAAGCGGATATGTGGCCAATACGTTTTCTACTTTGGATTGCGCCGGCTGCGTTGAAACGATGTTGAGTGCAACACGTCAGCCATCTAACCTGATCCAGACAAAATCGAAGGGCTATTTGAAAGTACCTAGCAGCCGCCTTTTTGCTCTCCTAAACATTATTGAAGAACATGTAGAGACGTACACGGTACAAAAAATTGCATGCGGCGACGTGTACGTGAGGATTGTTGAGGGCATTTCGCTCGACAGCCGTACAGCTTCAGCAAGTGTAGGTTGTGTGTCGCACTTTTTAGGGACAACAGCTGCGGTTGTCCACTTTGTTTTGAGATGTAGATTACATTTCTTCACGCGAGAAAAAAACAAAGCCTCGCGGGCAACTGTGCGAGGCTCATGCGCTGCAAGTGGGGGGCGGAAGCCACAGTGTTAAGCACAATGTCTGTGTATGTGTCTACAAGTATGTTCTTGCAGTTTATCTTTATGTTGTAATAGATAATTCTGCAATGTGATTTTCAAGCAACAAGTATTCGTCGTGTTCACATTTGAGAGTGTGCTTATTCTCTTTAGTGTATGTTTACACCAACTGCCTGGAAAGCCAACAAGCATTCGGTGCTTAGGCAGACCAGAGAAAAAATTATGTAAAACAAAAGTGAATAAAGCTGAATGAATGAATAAGTACACACCTGAGTACTAAGCGGAGTATCATTACCACCAAATTTCAGATTTATTGCATGCTTTAAATCATTACCGCCCCCCCTCATCATCCAAAAAAATAACAAATATATACGATGTGGTACCTCGGTAGTGGCAAAGGTGGTCGAGCAGCTAGCACAGGCATCAAAAGGAACTTCCAGATTAGGCTACTGCACTTCCCTTCCCGAAGAAATCCTGGGTTGTCGGCCGGTAATTAATGCTCTAGACAGTAAACACAAGGAAACGTCAAGCGAAGGATGTCCTGTGTAAATTGAGTGGAAAAAAGGGATCACTTAAATGCTAGGTACGAGAAACTTGTGTTTATTCGAAAAACACCCTTAATACCGAAGCGAGCGGTCGCGAAAGTGCTCGCCTGCTCACCGCGCCACCGAAATTCCCTGCGTCAAGAAAGCGATGGGCGCTCACAGACGTGTGTCCAAAACAACTGCGCATTTGGGTGCAAACTCAACTGAAAGGTCTGAAATAAAACGTCTAGCTCGACCATTCACTTCATTTGAATACTTGGGTAGTAGCGCGCGAGAGACGAGCCGGATATGAACCGATGCGATCGCCTCTGTCCTGCTTAGTCGTTTTTCATTCGGTTCACCTTCCACCCCCTATTCGCGGCACTACCAATCACCTACCACATTAACACAATCGCCCTTTGGCCAGGCGCAAAAATAAACACGTCGAGCAGATCTAGCATGCTCGCATCGGGAGCATGAGCATCGTCTTTCAACACTTGCAAGATATCACGTACCGCTTCGAGGCATCCTAAGTGCTCATATAATTGGGCTATGAGGTAATTATCAACGCAATGCGTCATCGCGCGCTGTTAGAACATTTTAAACGCGCTGCGGTTTAGAAGGAAGGCCCGCGCTCCCAAGTAAACTACGCGTGCGTTCCTAAGTAAACAGCTCTCATTCGACGTCGACACTGGATCCCGTTTCGATTTATATATCTGGTGGCATTGGCGCGTTCAATGATGTTTAAGAAAGCGTAACAGGAAGACTAGCACGCTCATAATCGCGTCGAAACATCAGCAGCAGTGCGCATACAAGCCCAGCAGTGGCGGCGGCTGCTGGCCCCCTTACGACGGGTGGCACCCCTAGCGAGAAATTTTGTCCCTATATCAACCTTCGGGCGGAGTTTCGTGACCAAAAAAGCATTGAAGGACTCTGGTTGAAGGCTAGTTGTCCGTGCATTTGTGTGTAGCATCATCATAGAAAAAGGAAAACTGTTCTAGCCTTTGTATGAGAAGTATTTGAAGCAGGTGAGCATGCTTACCTGCCCAAATGCTGCGAAAAAACATCGAGGTATAGTGTAAATTCTACGCGCCGTCGCTGAAGTCCGATTCAACAAACCGACTAGCAAGCTCCAACCAGCGGGAGCATCTTCAGGGTGAAAAAATTGTGCTCTTAAAAAAATTAAAAAAAAGAAGAAAACTTCCAGCTTTTTTACTTTGGTGACGAACGAATAGCAGCGGAGCTGAAGCTTTTGTTCTCGGCGGTGGCTTTTCAAGCGAACGAGCTGTACTTCTTTCGCGAGGGAATCTGAAGCGCTCGATGCACGCGGCAGTTGCGGACCCATTCGCGCTGCTGCGTACGTTGCCGCTCCTTCCGCACCCGGTCTTCTTTCCCCGAAGAAAGGGCACGTGGCCGACGCATCGTGAGCAGTGTTGTACACGTTCCTAAAAAAGAGGAACTGAAGCTCGTTCCTCGTTCTTTTGATTTTTGAAACGCGTTCCCGTCACAAGTTCCATTTGTGAGAAAGGAACTCGTTCCCGTTACAGTTTAAAAAATTGAACGTTTCGTAACATATACGTTACATTTGTATTTTGCTGATTACCATAATTAGATCAAACAAAGCTTTTTTTATCTATCCCTTTATGACAACATACGAATTTAAATGTCGTGATAGAAGGACACCAGGAGAAGAAAACAAGTGGAAGCAACATTTTATTTGTTGGTGTTTCTTTTTAAAAAATCTCAGCGTTTTGCCATATTCATGTTTGTGGTGGGCGATTCAGACGAGCCAAATGTACTGTTACCCCACATTGCACGCGCGTTTTACAACAATCTCACACGTTTCTATCTAGCAAAGTCCCTTCTTCGAACTTAACACCAGTTGCTTCTCGCTGTTGCTGTCTGCAAGACGAGCAAGTGGAGAAGAGGGTAGGGCTTTTGGAAGGTCAGTCTTGAAAACTATCAGTCCTTCTTTGTCTTTGTCGGGCAGAAATACTCAAAAATGTATTTGGAAGTACAAAGATTGGGATACATTATATTAGTAGCTAAAATATTGATACTAAGATATATCTGTAAAAATGTATCGCGCTACGTATCGGAACTACATTTTAAGAAGAGGCAAAAAGTATTTGGAAATACAAATACGTTTTAGGGAGATCAGAAATACAAATGCAGAAATAGGGTTAGTGCAATAAATTTTCCAAATTTTTCGAGTCGCAAACTGAGATGAAGCTTGAAGTTTGAAGTGGATGTTTTCGATCCCGAAATTACTTTCCTGTAGGCTTGGCAGTTTGCCTTGGAGGTGGTTTCAGACGACAAGGAGTCTTCAATGGGCCCAGAAAAACGTTCCATCAAGGGCTGACCGCGGTCCCTTCCATGACATCTTGTCTCTCTGACGAGGGAATCCTGTCACCATTGATCACATGATGTCACGGTGTAATGAACTAGTATCCTTTATCTGTAGGTGTGGCCTTGAACATGAAACTTTACCACGCTGCTGTATGAAAGGGCAACACGAACTTCCGTTCTAGGTTACCTAGTTGAAGATTGTGCAGGCAGTGTCATTTGGAATTTTTGAGAATAGTGGACTACCTGAAGCATCTTGGAATGCATGTCTTATCTTCTGTTATGGTTGAAAAAACGATACGGTAGCATCCCTGTTCTGAATGTCCTTACTGCCGACCCTCCCCCACCGACGCACGGATTGCAGCCCTCAGGTTTTGCCTAGCATTATCCAAACGGAGACCTCGTGGAGTGTGAGCTGATATTGCCGGCACAGGTGCGAGCTGTCCGAGAAACAGCGGTCTCGAGACGAGTCGCGGGAATACGTAGTCTGGGATGGCACAGATAGGCCACTTCTGGCCTCCTTTTGGGTTTCGGATCACCAGAGCAGCGGGTCACGTTCACGTCGGCTGATGACGTGCCCTTGAGCCGTGCAATGTTACAGGCGCAGCCGTAACATTCGAATATGTGTTGAACTTCACAGCGTGAGTCTTCCTACTATTTCAAGTCAACCAGCGCCAGGCTCGTGCTGCAACGGAATGTGACTCAGCTTTGCCGGCTGGGTGTACTCTGTGCGCTAAGGCAAGAGAGACGGTTAGCAGCGGGCATTGGACGCCAGCAAACTCAAGAAATCCCTACCTAAGGACCTGTGGCAGAACATGATCTGACTCCACTCCTGGCACGGCACCTGGTTCGAGTCCCCGACTACGCAAAACTTCTCAGAAGAGAGAAGAGGAGGCACAGAAAAATAGTTTGCAGAATCAAAAGGAACCTTTGTCAGCATAGCAACAATGCCCCAGCATCTCCTTGACTCTGGTGCCCTCAGAAGTAAAAAAAAAATGCGTTCGGCCTTGGTTTTTTTTTTTTTCTTGTTTTTTTTTCGGGGGGGGGGGGGGGCGAATAATTCTCAAGAAAGATAACGAAATACATTTCATCCTGATTGTATCGCGATACAAAGAAACATTTGAAATGTATTTCGATACAGGAATACAGATACTGGTTAAAAAAATGTATCGCGATACAGAAATACAGATACGGAATGTATTTCTGAAATACTATCGCGATACATTTGTATCGCGATACTGCCAACCCTGTTCTTTGTGAAGGTTGGATTCGTTGTTCAGTTTGAAGGTGGGAGAATAAGAGAGGGAACGAAGGTTAATTTTTGTGCACCTAGCCAATGTTCGGGATACAAGGGTACGTTCGATATCTGGTAACCTGTTTTTCTGGTGTTGCTGTAGGTCTCTTTGTAGAACTTCAGTGATAGCTGTAGTCTTCCTTAGATTTCTAGGTGTATGAGGATTCGTGGAAGCAAAGAAAGAAGTTGAGTTTGAAAAGTCCCTTTTATGTCTTTTCCTTCGACTAAATATTTTAATTTCTGTACCGCAGTCTCGGGCACTGAAAAGACAATCAGTGTACTAGCTCTCCTGCACCCGACTGTTACCAAGCGAGGACCCCACAACATAAACCCTACGTAACAAAAAAGTGAACGAGATCCTACTCTTCGTGAATATATATTGTTTTATACTTTTTCTAAAAAAAATCCCCCCTCTTAGAAATAATAAAAAAAAAATACCTCACTGGACGAAGAAAAAGGAACGCCGTTCCTTCTTCCGTTCCCGTAAAAGTGTAACGAGTCCCCGTTCCAGTTCCACCGATGCAAAATGGAACGGCGGCGTTCCTTCGTTCCTCCTAAAAGGAACGCGTTCCAGGAACGCCGTTCGTTGGAACGCCGTTCGTTGGAACGCCGTCCCGTACAAGACTGATCGTGTGTCCAGACCGAAACTGATAAGAGCGTGGGAGACAGCGCGCAAAACAGACGAGGACGAAGAAGGAACACACCTCACGTGCTCTGCGCTCGTCACGTGTTTTCCTTCTTCGTCCTCATCTGTTTTTCGCGCTGTGTCTTACGATCAATTTACACCAACTCGCCCAACTATCCATTCTTATATGATAGCTGTAAAGGTTGCCGCCATCTATGAGTGACGGC